GTCATAACCTTTCACCAGTCTTGCAATTCAAGATGTTATTTCACCCAACATTATTCAAACTTCTGTTTAGGAACAGTATCATTGTTTTCCAAAATGTCTTACACAACATGGGCTTAGTAGTATGAATTATTGAAGAATCCGTTGTTCCAATAGGCAATGTGTTTTTCTCCCCTAATCATAAAATGTGCCTTTTGGTTTTCCTATATAAGAGGAATAAAGTAGACATGGCAAAATTTAGGATGGGTTCACGTAGCACACTAACCTAAAGCCAAATAGCTTAGTGCAGTGATGGCTAACCTTTTTGCCATCACGTGCCAAAAGAGGAGGGAGCACGGGGGGGCTTGTGCACGCGCATGTGCCTAAACCCATAATTCAATGCCCACCGCACGCATGTGCGCACGACCCCCCCCCCACGCACCCCATTTGGGGCTTAGCAGGCCTCCCTGAAGCCTCCAGAGGTCAGAAATTGCCCATTTCCCAACTTCCGATAGGACCATAAGGCCCATTTTTCACCCTCTCCAGGCTCCAGAGGCTTTCCTGGAGCCTGGGGAAGGCAAAAACGGCCTTCCCCACCCTCTGGAGGCCAAAAACACCCTTCCAGAGCCTCCATGCGATCCCTGTACTTACCTGGCATCCAAAACGGGCCATGTGGAGACTCCTGGGAGGAGAGGGGTGGAGTGGGCCAGCCAAAAATCAGCTGACCAGCATGTGCATGCATGCTGGAGCTGAGCTAGGGCAACGGCTCGTGTGCCTGCAGATATGGCTCCGCGTGCCACCTGTGACACGCGTGCCATTTGTTCGCCATCACGGGCTTAGTGCATCATATTTAAAGCCAGACAGTTTATAAACTATGATTTGCTGCTGAGCATTTTCTGCAAATCTGTCCAGTTACAGGTTACTCACTATACCATAATCAGACAATCATGATTTAGTACAACTAACTATGGTTTATAAAGAGGACCAACTTTGCATCTCATTAGTAACCTCTCCAAATTTTAATAGGCATCAACAGAGGAAAACAGATTTAGGGAAATAAAAAGCTGCCTTGCCAACCATCAGCATTTTATATGTAGCCACTTAGTAATACAGCATCAACAGCAGGTGCACTTCCACAAGTTGTGACACATGACTTTTGGTTAAACTGCAGAACACAACTATTCAGGTGCACGTTTGCTTGCAACAAGCAGAGGCTGATTTTGTGGCTTAAAAGATGTTAGCAGCTAGACACTGTTTTAGGGTTTTAATTCTTCAGCACTCCTTGCTAATTTTCAATTTAAGCTGATACTTCTTTTTTAAAAATGCTTCGTAGACAAGTATTTGAAAAAAAAATTAGTTGTAAGTACAGTAGTAACTTGGTACATATTGTTAATTACTTCCAGGTGCAATGAGTACCAAAAGCAATTTTCCCCATAAGGAATAATGTAGTGAGTCACAAGGCAGCCAACATGACATGTTCTAGCTTGTGTTGAGTATCAAACAAATAATGTTCACATCAAAATGCATTGAGTACCAAATTCTATGAATTTCAAAGCAGTTGAGTACCAAGGAACCACTGTAAATATGTTAAATTAGCCATCTTCCAAAATTGGTACTATCTAGTAAATTGGGGAGCTATAACCCACTACATCGGGGAGATACTCATTGGGAAAAGTTAATTACTTATAAAGAGCCTTGATTGTGTTGTATCACATACTTATATCTTCCTTTTCTCCCTTAAATATATTGTCCTAACACTCCTTTAATAAATCGTGAATTAACAAACCACAATGAAAAATGTCTATGGAGATTCTCAGTCATCCAGGTCATGGTTGTCCCAAAGGTGCTTTTTCAAGAGGCAACTGGACTTTCTGGTTTTTCTTGTTTTTTCTCAGAACTGAAGAAGCTTCTTGGATGAGAAGTGAAACGTCTTTAAAAAAACAACCACCAGAAAGTCCAGTTACCTCTTGAAAAAGCACCTTTGGGACACAATGAAAAATCTTTTTCATTTCACCACGTCACTTGAAACCAGGCAAGCAACAACTTGTAACTGATTGGCAATTTCAAGAAACTAAGCAAGATTGTTATTATGTATAACTGCTGCAAGATTATTATTTGCACAAAAATGAACTTTGAAATACCCACAACAGAAGAATGGTTGCTGAAGATGACAAAATTAACTGAGATGACAAACTTGACTTGTTTGGTTAATGGAAGGACAATATCTACATTTATTAGTACTGGAAACTTGCTATGGACTTTTTACTGGGGAAAAAATGAACTTGTGATTTATGGGTTTAAGAAAGAATAGACTACTGAAAGAATTTATGTTACAACCATACAGTAAAATATAAACATACTTATAATTATTGTTAAGACCAGAAGTTGCTTCTATATAACTTTTTTCTATTTATTTCTTTGCACTTTTTCGCTTATTACTTTTCTTTCAAAAAGTTTATTACATTTTTTTTTAAATTAAACACACACATATATACACACACTACAATCTCACAATCCTGAGACTTTATGTTTATAGCATTCACCTCCCCTGTGAACCTTTATTTAGCAAGTGAAGGAAAACTACTGGCTGCTGTACTTTAATTTCTTCTTTTGGCCCCGGTCAAATATGCTCAAAATGGTGGGAATATTGGTTGGGCTCCATCTGGCAGGTCACAGATTATCTATTTTTGCTATCAATGTCATATATTTTGAGACCAAACTAAACTCAAATATTTACAGTTATATTTAATTCTATGTATTTCAATTATTTTTATAAGCCATGGTCTGTGAAATAAGTGATTCATTTCGCTTCACACATCACACTAAGCCAAAACTAAAGAAACCACATTACGATTAAGCGAGAAATTTGAGTAGAGTTAAGATTGGAAACTTTTAGGTTCTTGTCTCACCTATATCTAGCAAAAGAATGTGAAAGAAATACATGCAAATATGAATATATCACAAAACAGAAATAATCTTTGGATATTGGCTTTCATGGAAACAAAGTTTTATTTTTAACAGTACACTCAATCCTTTTAGAAACTTGAGAGGCCAAGAGTTTATATTGCATATTTATTTAATATCCAATAGAGTGCTAAATCTCCCATTCAAGTTTCCAACTCCACAACTTCCTCATGCTTTTCTTTCCCAAGGCTTCGGTTTCTGAGTCATCTGAGATGGTGTTGGACTCCCATTCGTGGCAGAGATATTTAGCTTCTGGAGTCCAGGGATGTCCTGTCCACTTTGGACCAGATGAAGGATTTCTGAAAACGACACAGAGGTATCTGGAGCAGGAGGTGGGTCGGCAGGGCTATTCTGTCCCTCTTCCTCGCTTCCTGCCCTGGGAAATCCACCTGCGGACTCAGCTACAGCAGATTCCATTCTTCGGAAAACTAATCCACAACACTGATCACCCGGTCATTAGTGGAAAGGAGGCAACCTCAGGCGCGTCCCTAAACACGGGGGGAGAGAGGGAAGAATCACCTTTGCCCGCACCTGTCCTCCCACCCTCAGCCCTGAGAATGAACAGCCAGCCGTCTGTGAAAAAGCTTATTATTCCCAAGTAGTCCCTCCCGGGCTCTGTCGTTGAATCACTCCTTCATTTTGGAGGGTCATATACATTTAGCAATCCTGGGCGGATTTTCCCGTAATTCGTGGAAACGGAGCGGAGGACTCGGCCTGCCCACCTTCTTTGTGATCGCTTTTGTTTGGGGCTTCCAAAGAGCGACAGCTCCCCGGACTTTCAGGCTGAACATGCTGGTACCATTTCCTTCAGGGACCGCTACCCCCACCCCGTGTTGTGAATGGTGTGTTTACTGCATAGTGTGGGTGCGCTTCCCCACCCCCACCCCTCCCCGTGTCGTGATAGTGTATTTACTGCAAAGCAGCGCTTCCTAAAAGCCCGGGAACTTCAAAAGAGCCAGAGAAGCCGTCCTGTTCCCCTACAGATCCACGCATCGGCCAGATCTTCCCCGTCCAGTCTGCTCAAAAGCAACGCCCCCTCCCCCTTCCTCCGCCTTACCCATTTCAGAAAGAGGCTCCGGGAAAAAAGGACCTTCGATGCCAAACCATTTTCCCCCAAAGCGAAATCCCGCCCGCTTTACGAAATCCTTCTGGTTTCCCGGAAGTTACAATGAAGGCGGCCAGGAGGGGGAATGAGGACAGGCCGTACCAAGATCGATTTGTTAGCGGGGAAATACCACAGCTTGCAACTGGGTGCTATTCGATTCCCGGGCCTCTTTCGTTAACGAGAAATAAGGATTTCTTTCCTCTGAAGGCCTATGACACTGGGAAGAAATCGAAGGGTATCTGGCCAACCTTTGAAAGATATACTAAACCAGGGGTCACCAGCCTTTTGGACCTCAGGGACCACTAAATTCATAATTTTAAATCCCGCAGACCACTAATATGAATTTTTTAAAAAGATAAATAGTATTTAGCGCAATATAAAAATTCAAATAATGTTTCTGCGGACCACCAAAATTTTCTCGCGGACCACTAATGGTCCATGGACCACTGGTTGGTGACCACTGTACTAAATGACTGCGGGAGGGCCACCTGGATTTTTGCCAGCCCAGGTCTGATATTCATAAGTTTAACTCAATGTTTTTCAAACTTGGCAATTCTAAGAAGTATGGATTTCAATTCCCAGAATTCCCCAGCCAGCATTGGGAGTTGAAGTCCACACATTTTAAAAGTTGTCAGGTTTGAAAAAAAATGCTGAGTTTAACCCTAATTTACACTTCATATGAATTTCCAGAGAGGTAGTCTGGTGTGAAAAGGCAAGTGGGATGAGTCCTGCTTAGAACTTGGATGAGAAAGCAAGAAATACTATCAAAGTTGCAGGTTTTTAAAAAATGCAAAAAAAAAAAAAAATCCCAGAAGGCAGCAGTGGAAAACTACTTTCATATTTGCCCAGATGGTTGATTTATATTACAGCTCACATCAGTTATCTCTAAACTACAGTTCACAGATATATTCAATTTGGATTATTTGTAAGTTTGCTTTATAACTTTTGTACTCTTTATGTTTTAATTCTAAATATCCCAGAGTCACAAATGTGGAATGGACAGCTATATAAAATGAATAAATAATTCATGAAGTCACAAGTAGCATAGCTGACTTGGCTTTACTTTTAACTGAGTTACTTCTTTGCAAAAGCCACCAAGAATATTGTAGCATTTCAAAGATTAATATATTAATGGACCACAGACTACACTATTAAATGTCTTGACAATAGTAACACAGGAGAATTAAATTGACAGCCATTGTTGAAAATGGATTGGTCAAGGACAGAATTACCTAAGAAATTACCATTAACAAATCTGGTCACTTTTTAGCATTCCCTGTATTTATGATTCTCACCAATAAAGTCTACATATTGCCTATTTCAAGACAATGTTCCTTGAAACTAAAGACATTGAGTCTGACTCAAGAAAGTTTGTTAGCTTTAAAGAGTTATAAAACCTGCTCCACTTGTCTTCCTTATTTCTCCCAATAGATTTTAACATGTTCTAAAACTTGTGAGAGATGCTAATTACACTTTGCCTTTTAAAAAAATCTGGGGGTGTGAGTATATATGGTACTGTGGACTTTGAAGAAGCAAGATAGGTATTGATTGAAAAGTATTGATGCTTTTGAATTTGGGTGTTGGAGAAGATTCCTGAGAATATGTGGACAGCCAAGAAAACAAAGTAATAGATCACTGAATAAATTAACCCCAAGTTCTTACTTGAGGCACAAATGACCAGGCTCAAATTATCCTACTTTGGATATATTATGCAGATATCTAGCTCTCTATAAAAGACTCTAATGCTAGGAAAGGAGGAAAGAAAGAAGAGGATGACTAGCAGCCAGCTGGATGGACCAATTTACAGTGATGACAAATACACAGTAGGAAAACCAGATTAGGGACAAATTGTCATGGAGAAAATCCATCTGTGTGATCACTAAGAATAAAAAATGGCTTGATGGTACATTGACAGTCAACATATATGCTGTCCAGGGACAGTTTGACATGTTAAAACCAATAAATAAATGTGAGGGGGACATGTACAGGTGTTCATATCATCTCTTCATGCTTCAGATAGTTACTTTTTAATACTGGTGCAAAATTGCCATTGCCACTGTTTGTGGCAATGGCAATACAAAGAGAAGCCATTTTGAAAATAGTAAAAAGGAGAGTGACTTAAGCAAAAACCTTGTGGTTTTTGCCAAGCAGCTGTGCAGCTGTTACCAATGGGAAAGGAAAACGGTGGTCAGAAAGAACTTCAGTTGAGTTTGTCAGTTACAAACACACATTTTCAGAAGCATCCTTGTTCCTTGAAATGATGCTGTGGGCTTTCCAAGTGAATTTGGCCTGGAGGCCATTTGGACATCTCTTGATCATTGCAGTTCTCCAGCTTCTGACATGTAAGTAAAATTTTCAGAACTTCTTTGGAAAAAAAGAAAAACAATTGGAAAAACATAGGTGAGTTACATAAATAAGAGAATGGTGTTGGAAGACCTGTAAAATTCTGTGAATGGAGAAAAGTGACCGCACAAGGAGATGGAAAGGAACTATATTTTTATGGAAAAAGAGATAAATCCCAGTGAACCTCAAAAAACAACAATAATCTTAATAATGCACTATTATTTCTGTAGGGGAAAACAGTCTTCTAAACTAATTTTGTGCATGCATCTTTCTAATAAACCATTTCTTTGGATAACAGGTCACCACTCCTTAAGTCTATTTTCAACTCTGACACCACCACTCTATCTGGAAATAAATGGTGAAAGAAAGACCCTGTTTGTATGTTTGGTGAACGACTTCTCGGAGAAGTCACTGGGAGTCATTTGGTTTTCCAATGGAAATGGGAGCATGTTGGACTCTTATACTTACGGCATTTTCAAGGAAGAAGATGGCTCTTTCAGCACAATCGCACACATTTCCATACCCAGCAAAGAATTTGAATCATGGAATATTGTTATTTGCTCGGTTGCACAAAATCAAAACTCAAGAATATGGAACACTACTTCTCTACAAATCTCTGGTATTTATCAAAGGGGGAGAGAAATATTTAAGTGTAAAAAATTACATTAAATTATATTATGGCAATTATTCATAAATTGGATTAATTCTGATTTAATAATTGTTTATTAAATAGAACAGAGTTGGCTACTTTAGCCTGTCATGCTGAGTCATAAAATTATTGCTTACAAGTGCGCCTGAATTCACAAAACAAGCAAAAACCAAATACACTGGGGCTTTGCTTCTCAAAATAAAGTAAATTAATATGTGCATGCTGGCCCCATGTAAATAAATAACAATTTTATTAGGGTTGGCCAGGCCAGAAATAGATATATCAGTTATCTCTAATAACTGAAGTGGGTGCTTAAAAGTTTGTGAAGTCTTCTGAATTTTCAATATTTTTGCATAAATATTATGTAAAACACAATCTATTCTCCACAGAAGTCCTAAAACCTAGATGAAGAGAACTCTGTTAAAAATCAATCTGTTCATTAACTTTACTAAAGACATGAATTACTTGGAAGCTTTAACAATTCAAGAAAATAATGTTTCATACTTACTATTTTTTTCCAGAGGAGCAACATATGGATGATCTATGTCTGTATGAAAGTCAAGGAGGTAAACACAGAATATTTCCTTATTTTCCAAGTAGTTAGTCAGTTTCCAGAGGGGAGTTACTTTGCTTCATTTGATCATTTTTTAATTGGCCGGTCATTTGATCGTTATTGTGATCTAACTTTTTTCAGACAACAGAAAGGCTGCCCTTGTAGAGCATTCAGAAACTTCCAACTGGTGGAAATGTGGCTGCAAGGGTAATAAATGGTGCAAACTACATGGCACACGTGGCACCACTACTCCATGAGCTGCACTACCTGCCAGTGTGTTTCCAGGTGTAATTCAAGGTGCTTATCACCTTTAAAGCCCTACGTAGCTTGATACTGGGTTACTTGAGTGACTGTCCTTTTCCACAAGTTTCTATCCATCCAATCCAATCCAATCCAATCCAATCCAACAGATTGGGCATGTTGTAGATCCCATCAGCCAAAAGTGTCAGTTGCCAGGAACTAGAAGACAGCCTTTTTAAATGTAGTCCTGCCTTAGGGAATACTCCCCTCAAAAATTAAAATGGCCCCAATCCTGTTGGCTTTTTGCAAAGCTGTAAAAATTTGACTGTGTACCCCAGTCTGGGGCTTGGAATGTGTTAAGGGCCCCATTACTTAGCTTTACTATTAGTTGATTAATCACCACAGCTGCTATTTGTACTTATTGAGTGGATGTTTAATCATTAACATTTTAATGTTTTTTTATTTGTTTTATAATTTTAAAATTGTAAGCTGCTCGGAATCACTTGGTTGAGTTGGGAGGCTATGGAAATTGAATAAATAAATAAATAATTCCAAATAAAACCAATTGAGGAGGTTTAACTAATTCACAGAATGTTTTCAGAATGTTACATGTCTTAATACTATATTTTTGTTTACATGATTTCTATGTGACAAAAATAGCTGAAGCAGATTAAAATAATATTGATGATTTTTCAACCAACAGAGCAATGACTTGTAAAACTGTAGTGACACATATTCACAGTTTACTGTAGAGTAATACTTCCTGGTTCTGAATTTGTAGTTTAAAGTTAGTTCAAAGAAATAGCTAATAAAAGCACCGAATGTTTCATTTGAGAACATCAGGACCAAAAATGTCTGAGTATGCTACAAATATTGCTCAATAATATGGTTCTTGTTTGCTTTTTATTGTAGTGGAGGAACAGATGTTGTCTACTGAAATTCTGCATAATCGCACACAAGAAGTACATCTTCTGGCCATCAGAACTTTGCTGTTCAAGTTCCTAATGTTTAATGTACTGATGACCTGCTGCATCCTTTACAAAAGATAAGCAAAACTGTAGTGCATTGTTACTATAAACTCAAATTATTTTAAAAAATTGAAAAGAACTGCTAATACTATTTTTAAAATGCATGAAATGCTTCAAGGAATCTGGATCAGACTGCTTCAAATAGCAATGAACTGAAATTGGACATCTGTTTATCAGATATGCTATGAATGTAGCACAAGGTAGATTACAGCACCCTTGAGGTCACTTCCAATCCTATCGTTTTGTGATGTCCATTCAGAATTCCACAATTATAAGAAAGTATCTAGTCATTAATTCCCAAGTTCCAGCAATTGGATGATGAAGGCAATCTTTGACAAAACTTTCAATCACTGAGAACTCTGCATTCATGGCCTCAAGACACATTGGACTGATTCCATGTTGGAATTAAAGCAATGTAAGAATTTAAAATGTGCTGCCTTAATCATTTATTAAACAATTTATGATTCATTAAAGCATCATATTTTTTTCAGGCTTGTGTGGAAGTTTGAAAAAAGATGAACACACACACACATTAAGGCAGTGTTTCTCAATCTCAGCAACTCTAAAATGTATGGACTTCAACTCCCAGAATTTCCCAGCCAGCATCCCCCTTTCTCCATTCTGTGGGTCCCTTAGTCCCCTGAGGTAGAGATAGTTGCTTTGTTCATTGGTGCTTTTTTCTTTCTCAATAAAGGCTTTGATGTCCTTGCTTGAGGTGTTTTTCTTTTCATGAGCCATTTTGCAGGGAGCATCCTAAGAATTGGGGAAATGGAGAAGGAAATGAAATCCTTTTTAGTTCTCCTACTGGCATCTTATCTTCTGCCTATTATGCACCTGTAGGAGAAGGAAGGAAAACAGGTTGCTAGAAAGTATCCTTAGATTAGAGTACTGTAAACATGGAGATTATTGAAAGGAAACAGGTGGAAGGAAAAATGACAAAACAGGTAGAGGCAACTGGAACGAGGGGAGCAAATTTTTGTGTGGATCAGGACTTGGCACACTGCTAGGTTTTTTTTTCCTTCTTTCCATTTTCCTCCCTTACCCTCACTATTGTCTCTCCTGCCAACAGGGAAGGAGCTAAGTCTAAATATTAAGACTCCTTTCTAACATTATCTTAGTGCAATAGTGCAGTAGTTTATGAAATGCCAGGCATTTCCTGGAGAAAGTGCATGAGATTCCATATTCCCAACTGCTGTGACCCAGTTAATATGACTGCATGCTGCCTGATACAGTGGCAAAGATAAGTAGGTCGACAACTATTTGTTATCATTTGTATTGTAATATGACAAATGAAGAGTTACAAAAATGAACTGAGGGCAGGCATCTCCAGATTAGGAAACCTAAAGTTTACACATGTGGTAACAGTAGAATAGTAACCTATTTAATTGTGGCATAGGGAAATTCCAGTTTTAGTGCTACAACCTTATGGAACAACTCTTTTGACTTTTAGTTTTCCTCAACATCCAAAATACTTTTACACAACACAATGGATCCAAAAACAGCTAATCACATTTTAATTTAGCAGACTGCAGATCCAGTCAATATGATTAGATTAAAATTTAGTGTTTTAAACAAAGGCAGTAAATTTGATTAATTAAATCAATGATGGCTAGATTAAGTATGAGTATGCATCTTGTGCAAATATAGCTACATGCCTATAACGGGAGAGCCCCCTACATCTTTCCAAATGACCTCAGCTTTAATTTCCACTAACTCCAGCCAGCATTGTCAGTGATGAATGAAAGAGCAGCTGTAATTCAGGAACATATGAAGGGCCACAGGTTACCTATTATCAGGTTTGTCTATGGAGACTCTCAGTCATCCAGGTCATGGTTGTCCCAAGAGCCTTGGTGGCGCAGCAGACTAAAGCACTGTTAAGTAACACCAGCTGCCTGCAATTACTGTAAATTCAATCTCACCAGGCTCAAGGTTGACTCAGCCTTCCAACCTTTCGAGGTAGGTAAAATGAGGACCCGGTTTGTGGGGGCAATAAGCTGACTTTGTATTAAAAAAAGAACACCACTTGGGGTGGGGGGGAAAGCCCTACTAAGCAGGTATATACAAAAGTATGAAGGCTATTGCTTAACGCATTGTAAGCCGCCCTGAGTCTCCGGAAAAGGGCGGCATATAAATCAAACCAATAAATAAATAAATAAAAGTGCTTTTTCAAGAGGCAACTTGACTTTCTGGTTTTTCTTTGAAGACGTTTCACTTCTCATCCAAGAAGCTTCTTCAGTTCACCTTATTATTGTACAAACCTGATAATGAGGTTTGTATAAGGACTTTATAAAGTTCTTGAACTTAATAACATACAAAATGTTTGGTTACCTTTTGAGTTATCATCAAGTGATAATATGCTCAGCCTTAGCAGCAAAATGTCTGGAGCCTATTTCCAAATAGAGTGCCTGCCAGATATGTTCAACTACAACTCCCAGAATCCTCATTTAGTTCCATTATAATTTTTTTAGGCCAAAATCTAGTTAGAAGCACGAAGCAAGGGAAGGCCCATCTATCCCACATCTTCTTTATTGCTATTTTGAATAAAAGGGAAACCTGAATAATATAAAAAAAAGCACACCGAACTTCACTACTGTACAGCACTATATCATTCAACATGCCGTGGACCCAATCACGAAGGAGCACTTCATCCCCCGCCTCCCTCCATCCACCACCCATTCATTCCGTCTTTTGTAACGAATGGGGTGAGCGTAACAAACAGGGACCGATTCAGACCGACCAATCAGAGAGTAACTAGGGCAGCACTTCAAGGGTAGAAGGAGGAGGACAAAGCACGCTTATTGGTGAAATGAGAGCGCTATGTGAGTCTTTGATTGGCTGGCAAGCGAAGCAATCCGAGCCGTCCGTTGGAACGTGCCACGACTGTGGCCGCAATTGGTTGGTATAGCTGGTTGTTATAGTTACATTGCAAGAGGAGGATCCCGGAAGCGGAGGGAGGGTTGTGAGTATTAGTTCGTGCGGCTGTTGTGCCTGTGGCGGCGAGGCAACCTTAAGGTCGAGGTCCTCGATGGCTTCGCGGGTTCCGGGCGTCGGTGCTTTATTGGTCTTACTGCTGGTTCCGGCTGGGCTGGGGGGAGCCGTCGCTGAAGACAGCGACTGGGTTAAATTACCCAATAAATGCGAAGGTGAGCTTGGATTCAGGAGTACGGAGTGAGGGGCGCTGATGGGATCTGGAAGGAGTGGGTGAAAAGTCTCAAATCTGTAGCGGCAGTTATTTAACAAGGCAAACTCTTGTCTAGTAAGGTCCAGCTAGGAGGATGATACAAATGCATCATAAAACAGTTATATATATAATATAATAATATATATATATGGATGGAGCACCGGTCTTGTCTTATTTTTGTCGAAAATTACAGTATTTATTACGTCCTAGTCTTTAAAATGCTACATTGCTCTGAAGGTGAAACAATGTTTGGATATTTTATGATGTTTGTGTGTCTATATTTTTCTTGACTGTACACCGCCTTGAGTCCTACGGGAGAAAGGCGGTATAGAAATATAATAAATAAATAAATAAGTAAGTAAGTAAGTAAGTAAATAATAAAAAATAGTAATATATTTATCTCCTGCAGCACTTAGATCAATACTTTTTCCTAATTGCTAGGTATTTTTAAGTTGTAATCATGAGAGTGACATATAGTGAGATAGTACAATAATTTACAGGATGGGGCAGGCAACAAAATAGGCAGTAGGGAATAATTGTGTTTAAAAACTCCTAATATAAGGACATGTTTATATACTTCAAATGTATTATTATTATTACATTTGTTTACTGCCCATCTCTCCACAAGGCAACTAATGTAATCATTAATGTAATGGCATTAGTGCTATAAAGTTATTTTGGAGGTGTAAAAGAAATGATTTTAATCTGGGAATGATGGGATAACATCCTCATCATGTTTTTTTATATTGCAGCTTATTAGCTGCTTGGAGTGTTTAAGAGTAGGCCGGATATAAATGTTGGTAAATAAAATAAATTCTGTGACAGGACTTTCTTACTATAGTGAATGATAGCCATTAAATTGTGGTTTTTCAAAGGAGGCTGGGGGTTTTATTTTAAAAATTTATGGTATTAATAGAATGGAAAAAGGAACTGAAAAAATGTCACTAAAATGGGGCCAGGTGAGTAAAAAAGAAAAGAGGAACAGAAAGAAATATGAGCCCATAGTTGTGAGTTTTTAAGGTTTCTGAAGTAGGTAGCATTATAGTGTAAAGAAAGCAAACTGGATTTAGACTGAGAAAATGAGTTCAGCAAAGCTAGTTGTGTGGGCTTATTGGAACAGAGAATGTATATTTTATTTTATTATGTAAAGAATTTCTGTTGTTGTCCAATTGCAAAAGTGTGGCTCTGGTATAAAGAGTTTAGTACTATGTGTATGTGAATTTTCATTATATCCATACATAGCGAATCATTAAGTTTTGCAAATAGAGTAGTGAGACTGCTGTACTGCTTTCCAGTATGTTCATTGCCATAAGATGGTGGAATATTGAGCAACATTTGTAATATAGCGGATCAGCAGTCACAATTACCATTACTAATTGTTTTGAGTTTTGACTATATTTAGTTTGCAAGTATGTTGCTTTGGAACTGAAGACTTCCTTCGATGAAACTGGCAAGACCAAGGAGGTGATTGACACAAAATATGGCTTTCTGGATGGCAAGGGATCCAAAATCAAGTACACAAAATCGTAAGTGGAACAAGGTTGTTGAGAAATGCAACAGGTTTTTGTTTTGGCTAGTCCCTTAGGATTCACAGAGGAATCCTGAGAATGGATTGAGGTATAAGCAAAATGCTAAAACATGAATTGTGAAGTAAAGTGCCATAGCATTGGCAGACAAAAAACTTGGAGGTAGCAAATGGATGATTAAACTGGTCATTTGTCTTCCATAATTAAAGCAACCTGAGTTTTCATTTTCATAGTTGAAATAGTGGACATCCAGAAATATCGTTTAATTTCCCAGCATTCTTTTCTGTCTGCAGGGACATTCGATTTATCGAGGTGACAGAAAACATCTGTAAGAGGCTTTTGGAGTACAATTTGCACAAAGAAAGATCAGGAAGCAACAGATTTGCAAAGGTTTGTAACTTAGAATTCTTCTAGCATTTATTGCATAATTTTTACAAGCATTAACTTGCATTACTTGTTCCTCACTTTCCTTTGACGTTGGCTGCCTTGATGTTTTCAAAGTATTTTTTATTCACTCTATTTTAGGGTATATCTGAGACTTTTGCAACTCTTCATAACTTGGTGCACAAAGGAGTAAAAGTAGTGATGGACATTCCATATGATTTATGGAATGAAACCTCTGCAGAAGTGGCTGATCTTAAGAAACAGGTATGATGGTTGAAGGACCTTTATTTTTATACTGTTATTATTTTTTTAAAAAGTTCTTATATACTCACCCAGTTCCACATGATGTTAGGTAACTTTGCCTGAGGTTTTCCCTTTCTTTGAATTTACTATTTTTAGCCTTCCAGGGCTGCAGGAACATGGAGTGGGTAGGACCTACCTCTTTTCCAGTTTGGAGGACTGAGGCTTTAATTCACAGAAGAATGGATGCGGCTGAATGTGTTTATATACCTTAAGTCATTTCTAAAAAATATATCATCAATAATTGCTATTCTGCCTCAAAATTTCAATGTGATGTAATCCGGGGAGGCTCTGAGGGGCTCCAAAAAGAAGTTTCTAAATGGTCAGTTACTTTTAAAAAATATAATGAAGCATCTCATTAGCTAAAATTTATGTTAATCTGAATATTTACAAAAGAATTTACAGAAATTTACAGAGGGAGACTGCTGAAGCTTCAGTGATTTACTAGGTCTTTACTTTTAATTCTGCCAATCGCCATTTGGGAAAAAAATGTAAATTATATTTCTAAAGACTGGAGGCCTTCTGAGTATATGGGGGGGGGTGGCTTATCATAAACGGAAGAAGTTCTCCTTTCAAGTAATCTTACGCAACAAAAGCAGTGAAAAATGGGAATAAGATGTTACTGTACCATATCTCTTGCCTCAAAATGCTTTCCTAACATAGCTGAGCTATCTGTTGCCTAGACTCTGTTTTTTAGGAGCCAGAAGAGCAATTCTGAGGCGTTATTCTAAAACATAGATGCTGTCTAAAATGATCCTGTCATATGTAGACATCTGTATATATCAAATAGTGGAGGAGGGGTATTGACAGATTATTTAAGTGAAAAAAGAAGACATTTTTTGAGGTGCTTAGGTTCCAAAACCCTAACCCTTTGCATCTTTATTGGCATTAGCATTCATTTTTAGATTCAGCTTTACAAAAAAAAAGGAGATAAAAAATGTTAATCTAGAATTCTAAAAATACTGAAAATGTTACTTCTCTACTCCTTTCTCTTCTGTTATTTTTGGTCTGTTTCTATTATTCTTCAGTGACAGGATTCTGTGGCACCTGGAGAGTTATTTTATAACAAATGAAATTACCTACAGGATGTGAAAAGATGTGATGTGAAACCTTGGGTTTGTAGCTTTCTCTGAAGAGTTGTACTGTAATGATTATGGTTTCCCTCTCACTTTGTCTGCTAGTGCGAGACAATGGTGGAAGAATATGAAGATGTGATTGAAGATTGGTATAAAAACCATCAACAAGAAGACATTTCCCAGTTTCTATGTGCAAATCATGTGTTGAAAGGAAAGGATGCCAGTAAGTTTCCCTTTCATGGAATTGATTAATGTGGGTAGCTGGGATTTAGGGATGCTTGTGCAGCACAACCCCGTCTCTCCCCGCCCCCCAGATGGGAAACATGTTTTTCTGTGCAGTGTCAAGCTCTGCATTTGGGGCAGGATGAAAGACATAAAAATAGATGGGAATAATAATCCATTTAATTCCATGGATAGCTCCCTCTTTCTTTCAGAAAAGGGAACCAAATTGGTAACAACATACTTTCTCCCCAAAAAATTATGCTGAGTTCAGCCTTTAAAACAACTTGAGTAGCCAAATCTGCATAGGCCCATCATAGGAACCCCTTTCTTTAACTTAATGGAAGTGTTCTGGTTAGGAAACAAGAACTATCAGAGAAAGTGTGGCTTATTTAGTTTTAGTTTAATTCTTTTTTTTAATAATCTATTTTTAAAATTCATAAACTGATTAAAATAAACCATGATTTATATAGGAGTGCGATTCCAATTCTTTGGCACATTAGAATGGTTCTAAGATTTGGCTGGCCACTAGAGTTCTAGTGTTTGTGAATCAGATTAATTAGAATAAATTAATGAATTTCCTTTTATAGACCTTTATGAAAACATATATTAAAAAAAATTATTACCCTTAAAACCAAGACTGTCACTGAGAACTGCTTCCCATTTTTGTTGCTAAGGAAAAAGAGGTATATAATTAAATTTTAATTTAATTTAACAATTCTTACTTTAAAATTACTTTATGTCTGAGAAGGATGGAATTGAAAGCCAATTTTATTCATAGGCAGATTTCATTAATTAAAAGGAAGAGGTGACTTAATCAGGGTGTAATTTTAATAGTTTCAGTTGTAGATAAATGCAAAGTTTTGCTATGCTTAGTATTAACCTTTGATCTATTTACCAGAATTGACAGCATTTGCAGGTCCTGTCTTTCCTAAATGTCACATCTTCACAATAGTTCTGTGAAATATTAACCTGGAATCAACTCAGCAGTCCCTGGTCTCGGGAACTAGTAATTTAAACTGAATGGAAATTGTGAAGGTTGAGAGAGAAAGAAAAATAGTGATGTTTAAATCAGGATAGTGGGAAGTGGCAGTTTGATGATATCTTAGGAACTGTTCTTGTCCTTTTTCTAGGCTGTCTGGCAGAAACGTGGACTGGGAAAAAAGGAGACATGGCAAATGCAGGGCAGAAGACCAAGAAAAAGGAAGGCAAGGCAAAAAAGCCTTCAAAAAATAAAAAACGCTCCAAGGCTGATCAAGAAAGAGAAAACTCGCAACCAAGCACATTAGAGTCACCTGATCAGACTGAAAAGGAAGATGATGATGATGATCAGAAGCTGGCTTCACTTTCACACAACCCAGATGAACTGTAGGATCTTCAGACTCGCGTTCCAGCCACACTTGTCTTGTGGGTTTGCAAGCTTGTATTTGGACTACGGAGAATTGCAGTGGCCATGGGGGTTGCAAGAAGATCCATATTGTTGTGAAGGGGAAGTGAAGAAATGGGCAATGATCATAGTCACCTGAAACTGAATTCTTCAGTGTTACTACACCTCAGCAAAGGCAAGGTACAGGAAGCCAGCTTGTTACTTGCATTCCTTGGCGAACAGTCAAATTAGAAGTGCTGTGGACAATGCAGTTGAGCTGCTGACTATAGTCTATGTGACTTGTCTTTGGAAACTGAGTTTGCTGCCCTCATTAATTCCCTAGCCCATCGCTTTTGACTTGCCGGACAACATTGATGAAAAAAGAGAAATGAAAAGGAAAGCATAAATGAAAACACTCTGAACCTGTGGCAGTTCATTTTCCTGCCTTATTCCTGGATTTGGCTGTAATCGGACAGGTCTCTAACTTGTACATTCTATTAGGGGGTGAAAATCATTTACTGCTGTCCTTCCTTATTAAACAGAACACGGTTCATTTGAGAGGAAGTGAGAATGAAGGTTCTGTCAGGATAAAGGGCATTGAATTTCTCTTCTGTTTCTTTTTTTAAAGTTCTTACAGTAAGGAATCAATTCTGCAGTCATTTCAATAAGAGGAGCATATACAGATATCTTTGTTGATGCTTCCAATCCCCAAAATTAGTTTCTGGACATACCAGTCATGCTTACCATTTTCCGAAGTTTTGTTTTTTGTTTTTTAATAAAAATGTAGGGTATTTTTTGCATAATTTGTGTTTCATTTAGTTTCTGCACTGACCCTCCATATCTGTTCCAGAGAGTGCACTTATTATCTCTGTTCGGTGTTCAGAGTGATGTAACACTGTTTCTTCAAGGGATTGAAAGGAATGAGATAGCTAAGGACCTCCGGGTGCAAAGTGGTCAACTAAAGTTTATTTGCAGACTGAGGTCACATGCTTGTTTCATGTATGAATCATTTATGAGTTCTGCTATTAATCTTTTATTGGACAAAACATATTTGTGGAGTTGCTGAAAAGTATTAAAATAAAGGTGGTGTCCTGTAAGAGGAGCAGTTGTCTCTGACTTGTTTCACACATTATACTAGGTCATAAAGTGATTTGTATATCACTGTTTGTGACTTAGAATGTTGTGACTATTGTTTGTTTAATATTTATAAGCACACATGATTTAGCACAATGTGTGAATCCAGCCAATGTCTGCAAATTTTATTATGGAATTCCTTTGCCATGAATTAAAAAGAATTGTGGCATGTCAGAGTGGAGTGAGCAAATGGATAACCACTTCTTTAAGCCAGGAATTAACACCTGGATGTAGCTATCTGGCCTTTCATTTTGTACTCAAACCATTCTTCATATTTTTCGAGTAGGACAAAGCTGGAATGTGTCTTGTTTACAAGATATAACAGAAGAGGATGAGCAAAATGGCAAGAGAAGCTCCTTACAGTTTGCAAATTTTGCAAACTTGCCTTTCATTTCAGGCCTTTTCTCACAAGAAAAGACAGCCAGCCTTTACTTCAAGATTTTTAAAATACCCTAGCTAGAGTTTGCTGCAATTCAGAACATTCCCTTTTAGAATTAATTCCCTTTTCTTTAGGAACGGCTGCTATATATGAGCTGCAAAATCCGGACCATCTTTAGATGGTAGCAAAGATACAAAAGCTTGTAACATTTTGCTGCATTCTGTTAATCATCTGGATTTTTGCAGCCCACATCTGGTAGTCCTATATTTACAGGAGCTTTTCACTATTTCATCTGTTGTAACAGAGATTGCCTTTTTCTCTTGATACCTTATTTTTTTCAGGCGTCTGAAATATTTATAATGCCATTTATACATTTCCCCCCCTGTTCCTTTCAGGACAAGTGTGCTGCAGTCTGACTTGTGTGACTACGTTCTTGCTGTGGAAATAATGGCCTTTTAATGTACAAGAGTTGGTTGCCTGCATTCCTCTCTATGTATCCTGGACCGAGGTTTCAATCTCTGAATATTTTATCTTGTCGTGTGACATTTCCATTTTTGAGTACAGTATATGGGATTCTTCTGCCATCAAGATACATAATAACAAAGTTTCAATTTTTTTTCCTTCTCTTTATCCAATAGTCCTAAAGAAAAACTTCTGGTTTCCATTATAAGTCCATTTTAAGGATCTTCTGAAATAAAACCTTTATTTGCCTTCTAACACATCCACCATGTATGGTAAAAAGTACCCTCCATACACTTATATTTCTGGCAAACATTCAAAAGATCTTTGTACATTTTAGATAATTTATCAATTAGCGTTAAATACCGCAGGTATGTCATTTTATAAAAGTTCTCTTTAAGGTTATCGTTCAAAGAATATTCCAGTCCTTTGGTCCACATATTTTTCCCATTGGTCCAACATATTGTAGTCAAAATTTCTTTCCATTGAAACATACAATGCTTAATGTATTCACTTTCTAAATTCAACTCTGTAGCATTTTATATACATTAGTTATAAGGTATTCATCATTAGTACACGTGGCATTTCAAAAAGAACTACAGAGACTGATTATTTCATCATAGTTATGCTACTGAGATTGCTTAGCTTGTTTGGCTAAGCTAGATAGAAATTAGCTAGATAGTAGCATCTAACCAATACTGTCTGATGTCAGAAACTAACCAAGATCAGATCTGATTAGTACTTGGATGCAGGAATATCTGGAAAGTCCTGTGGTGCATGCTTGACTATATTGTTGAAGAAAAATTCTGGAAAAATTAAGTGGCAAATCATTTGTATATTGTGAACAAAACTGCATGGATTCAGTCCATGAAAGTCACCAAAAGTTGAACTTTAGTTGAAGGAATCTACTTTTTTTTAGTTTGCTTTTCCGGGGTTAAAATTCTTTCTGGATTTTTTTTCAGACCTAAACTGAATTACTGTGGAGATCTTGGTTCATCTTTTTCTGTGAAGTGCAAGCTTACCATTTACCAAGTCAAGGTATCACCATTCCTGTCTCTCTCACAGTATAGTCTCAATTTTATGCAGAATTACTGAGTACTTTGGCTTCTGATAGACTTAGTTTGCCTAATAATGCCTAATAATTGCCTTAAAATTACAACCAGAGACGGCAACACATTTTTTATTATTTTTTACACTACAGTAGTTGTTCTGGGGTTTCTCTGCTTATAATTAGGTTTTTCCTGTACTTTAAAAATAGATTTGAAGATCAAAGTAGATAGTCTCTGATTTCAAGTTTCACAACTATATAATGGAATGAGGAGAATATTATATCTAAGATATCTGAAAGCCTTGGGTGGAGCTCCTAGGATTTCCATTAAGTGTCTGGAACCAAAGTTCCTAAGCTTTCCCACTTCACAGCACCCTTGGAGCTTCACTAAGTTTTTTTCAAAGCACCCCCATGCTACTGACTCGTGGTGTGTGACTGATGTTGAGTACTGTTATATTTCCCTTGAAAATTCAAAATATCCTATGCTGTCCTGTGACACTGCAGAGCACAGCTTGGGAACTAGATCCAGACAGTACTACATATGAATTAAATATAAATAATTTTCAATTTAATTTTTATCTTTGTATCATCTGTTCTCTAAAATTAAACCCCTGACAGTCTGCTCAGGGATCAGGAGGACTGCAAATAGAGGTCATTTGATGTGCTTATCAACTGCATGTCATTGACTTATTTCTACAACCAGAACTGGAGGAACGTCTGTCATAAGTAGGCACAATTGTTATTTTTTGTTTCACAACTGTCAGCGATCAATTCCCAGCCCTAATTACAGTCATCATTGAAGACTAGCTGTATTTTTAAATGATTGTACAATTAAGCACAAGTATGTTTTTTCACAATAATAAGTTTGGTGCGGGGGATAATGCATTGGGCTAAGAACCTAGTGAATTCTAGTCCCACTTAGGCACAAAGCCGGCTGGGTGACTGTGGACCGATTATTCTCTCTCAGTCAGAAGATAATGAAAAACCACTTCTGAAAATTGCCAAAAAACCTGCAGGGGCTTGTCCAGGCAATTGCAAGGAGTCAACAGTTCAATGCAAAAGAAAATTGCTTTTCTCAATGTGATTATTACATTTTCATTATTTTTTTTTCTATCTCAAAAAAGTAATAATGGCTTTTAATCCAAAACTGTTGGTCTATAAAGAACACAAAAATAAAATCTAGAGTTGAATAATACTTTTACTGTACCAAACAAAATGAAACAAAATCTGCAAGCTTTTGAATTCTCCAGAGATATTACAAAAAGAGACATTCTCGTGTCTTTTTATTTTCATGTTTACTTTTGTCAATCTGAGGCAAATTTTATTTTCTATCATCACGTGTTATCTTTAGTGGATTTATTACTTTATTTTTTTGGTGTGAAATCCTGTTTGGTTTTTCGATTGATTTTCAGTATGTTATAGCTGCATTGGAGTTTCCTTCAGTATTAGTAAACATAAGGGAATTTCAGTTGGAGTAGAAAATCTACACTTCCTACATTTCCCAACTCTCATCAAGCTAAGTTCTTCATAACAAGGTGTTTTTAGGTACACTGATGCATTAATACAAGCTTAATACTAATACATTTCTAAGGTGACTTGGTAGAAACATCTAATTCTTTATAGATTAGATACACAAAAGACAACATTGTGGTTGCACATTTATTTATGATGGAAAAGTCACAATTTGAAGCTAGTGTTTACTTTCAAAAAATACCTAGAAAAAAGTTAATCATCTGTAGACATTGACTGTAAGCAATGACACGAAAAAAATGTCTTGGGACATAAAGTCAGATTCCTGAGCTATTCCCATGGGCAATGCAAATTACTTGCATGTTCAATAAGAAGTGTCTGCTATTGTACTTTAATGTAAACATAAACATATGTAGTGTGTCACAGCTGGCTTTGCTCTTCACAATGCAGCTCCTCTGTTGGCATTTGCTGCACACTTTGATCCATCTTTCATGTGCAGAAATCTTTGGAAATATTACACCTCTCTTGGCAATGTTTATACCAGCTTGTTTGCTGCTGTATAATTTTACAGGCTCCCTTTGATGGACTTGCTAAACAATCTTACTTGACGGTAGAAGATATTAAAAAAACGTTTCTCTTTCTGTGTAGCAGAGTGAAAATTATGTTGAATGAATCAACTTGTGTACTCAGCAGATAGTGAACACGGAATGTTAATTACAGTGGCTTTCGGACAGATTTTTAAAACTTCTCTGCTACACCTTTGAACAGAGCAATTGTTTTATGCATTCTGAAATCTGAATATAAAATCTTGTGATAATTAATTATATCACCTGGACAAAGCTTCCGTGTCTTTGATGATTCAGAAACTTGCACAACATCAGTTCTAAGAAAGTGGAAGCCAAATGTTTCCTTCAGCTGGGAATACATTAATGAGAGTTGAAATCCAACATATCTGAGGAGCGACCAGATTAGATCAGTTAACACTACCGTATCAAAATAGTTTCAACCACATTGTTTTTTTCCCTTTTATACCTAATAGGTCTTGATACACTCTATTATTTCAATGCAATAATACTTGTGTAATATGTTAATAAATTATGAACATATTATTTAGAAAGCTTAAAATACTGTAATTAGGAAAAAGTAAAAATTCTATTTATATTAATAGCATTTTAAGATATCAGTATTACATGTTGCTTTGTTTACCACCTGCGTTATAGAGAAAACTATTTTTCCATTATAAACAAACTGTTTCAATTTCTTGCATTTTTGTCCTGGAGGAATATAGTATAACCTGAAACACCTGAAAAGTG